TCTTTTTTGTCAGTTGTGGGGCTTGAACTCTGGGCCTGGGCACTGTCTCTCAGCTCTTTGCTTAAGGCTAGTGCTCTATCATTTGTGCCACAGAGCCACTTCCAGCTTTTTCTGCTTATATGGTGCTGAGGAATAGAACCCAGGCTCTCATGCATGCAAGGCAAGCACTCTACCACTGAACTACCTTCCTAGCTCCAAGATTTCATAGATTTTATAACTTCCCATTTTACATGTAAATCTTTAATCATTTTAGTTGATTTTTTTGTGTGATGTAAAATAAAGAGTTAAATTTTTTCTTGTATGATAAGTTTTTCTAGCACCATTTGTTGAAGACACTGTTCTTTTCCTATAGTATAGTTTTGGTACCTCATCTAACCAAAAAATATACATGGAGATCTTCTGATACTATTAAAAGACAGAAAGAAAGACTAGAAGAAAGAAACGAGAAAGAAACTATGACTAGATCTGTTTGTGTGTTGAAACAGTGATAGTATATGGCCATCACTTAAAAAATTTACATTTCATGATATAGTTATTCCTGGTTTCAGCTTGTACTTGTATGAATTGTACTTTATATGACTTTTTGTATGTGTGTTTGTATGTATATTTGTGTGTGTTGATGTGCGTACACTGGTATTGGGGTTTGAACTCAAGACCTTACGTTCTCCCTTAGCTTTTTTACCTCCAGCATTTTTGCTCATTGTAGATAACAGTTTCTTGGATTTGTCTAGACTGACTTTAAGCCATGGTCCTTAGGTCTGAGCCTCCTGAGTAGCTAGGATTACAAGTGTGAGCCATGGTCACTTGGCCCTTAAAAATCTTTTAAAATAGTATAAAAACATGTGTTAGTAAGAGGCGCTGTGGCTCAAGTGGTCTAGCACTAGCCTTGAACTGAACAGCTGAGGAACAGCGCTCAGGCCCGGAGTTCAAGCCCCATGACCGACAAAAAAAACATAAAACAAAAACATGTTACTTGGAATTCAATCCTCTGTGATAATATAATTTAATTTCCTTTCCCTAGTAATCAACCAGATACCATGCGAATAGCTTCTAAGTCTTCAGAATCAAGCACTTCAGATTTACCCCCATCAGAAGTTGGAGATGTAGCATTTTATGAAGTGAATAATTCTGACAGTAGTTGTACAGAAGGAAAACATGTTGACTTAGAGAAAAAAGCAGTGTAAGTATTTTACATCATAAGATTTATTTCAAATATTTGTTCTTAAACATTTTCCCAACTTTCTTGTTTTGTGATGATATGGATCAAATCCAAGGTGTTGCACATATTAGGCAAGTGTTGTATTGAGCTATAACCTCAACCTTGGGTAGTGTTTTTCTTTTTGAGGTCCTAGACCGGGACTTGAACTTGGTATCTGATGCTTTCGCTCATTGGCTAGTGCACTACCAACTGATCCACTCCTGTTATTTAAAAATAACAATTTTTAAGTTGTCATTATAAAGTTGTGATGTACAAATAGTTACAGTTAGGTAAGTCAGGTAATATATATTTCTTTTTGGACAGTCTCACCCCTTCCCTTACTGTCTCCCAGTTTTCCTCTCCCATCCTCACCCACAGTTGTATAGTACATTTTCAACATAGTGTGTAGTGAGTACCACTACTGCATTTGTTCACCCTTTGTCCTTCAGGTCTGTGACCCTCCCTCCCCTTACCTTCCCTAAGACAGATAAACAAATAAGACCAAAAGAAAAGAGCCTGGCACCTATGGTTCATGCCTGTAATCTTAGCTATGATCTGGTTCGAACCAGCCAGGCAGGAAAGGGGGTGAGACTCTGATCTCCAATTAACCACTAGAGAACTGGAAGTGGTACTGTAGCTCAGGTGGGTAGATCAATCTCCTTGAGCTGAAACGCTGAGGGACAGAGCCCATGCCCAGAGTTCAGGCCTTACGACCAACCGACAAAAACAAAACAAAACAAAACAACCCAATAAAGATAAAACCTCTTGTTTCCATTTGCTAGAATTCATTTAGATAAATATTACTTTATATGATTAGAGGCACATAGGCATTTCACCTTTGTATTCCTCCCCTAAGAATATACTCCTTTGGTTTCATTGTGTGTGAATTCCTAGAGTCCACACCTCCAACACCTGGGTAGTGTTTTTTTCTTTGTTGGGCATGGCGCTTGAACTCTTGGCCTGGGCGCTGTCCCTCAGCTCTTCAGCTCATGGCTAGCGTTCTACCACTTGAGCCACAGCACCATTCTGGCCTTTTCTGCTTGAGTAGTGCTGATGAATTGAACCCAGGGCCTCATGCATGCAAGGCAAGCACTCTACCACTGAGCCACCTTTCTCAACCCTCCTTCGTAGTTTTTAATGAGAAATTATTATTTTTTTTGTGGCTGGAACTTGAACTCGGTATTGATACTTTCTGATACTTATTGGCAGGCATCCTACCACTTGAGCCATGCCTCTAATTCTGTGATAGCCATTTATAAGAACAATTTAGACTCCATCTAGTCTGATCTTTCGGTTTTCTTTGGTATTATAATGAGGAAGCTTTTAAATATTTTTTCAAGATTCTGAAAGAGTTATTTTTTGGTGGTGCTGAGTATTGAACCCATGGCCTTTTTTTTTTATTGTGAAAATACTGTACAGAGGGGTTACAATTACATGGGCAAGATAATGAGTACATTTCTTATCAAGCATTGTAGCCTCCTCCTTTGTTTCCCCTTCCCATCCCTTCATATCCTCTCCTCCTTCTACCCCTCCCCCTGTCCCCCCCACCAAAGGTGTAAAGTTTGTTTTTCAACTTAATGGCTTGTACATCTCATTGTTGAAATGGAACCCATGGCCTTTTGCAAAGTGCTCTACTTTTGAGCTATATCCTCAGTCCCTCAGTGTTTATAGTTTTATTTGTATATGAATGTATATTGTTCTCAATTTAAATAGTATTGAATTTTCTTAGGGAAATTGATCAAGCAGAAAATATCAAACCATTGTTGAGAGTTCGTCACCAGCGACCTAAACCTAATCTGTCCAGGGCAATTGGGAAAAAATTAGGCAAAACAGATGCTGAGAACAAGAGTTCACAGTCAGACAATTCAGTTGAAAAGGTATGGTAAGATATTTTATGGATTTTAAAATTATAAAATTTATTCCTAAGTAGATAATATTTACCAACTGCTCTTAACTGATATTAAAATGAATGCAAAAAGGTAAGGCATTAAACGTTGTTTCTTATTTTACTAGTTATATTATTTCAAAGATTCTCAGTGTTTATAAGTTTATTTCCTTCATATAAAATGGTTGTTCCATTTTTTTGTTTTGTTGGTTATAGGGCCTAAACTCAGCCTGGGGCATTGTCCCTCACCTCTTCAGCTCAAGGCTAGTGCTCTACCACTTGAGCCACAGTGCCACTTCTGGCTTTTTCTGCTGATGAGGTGCTGAGGAATTGAACCCAGGGCCTCATGCATGCAAGGCAAGCACTCTACCACTGAGCCACCTTCCCAGCCTCCCAAATATTTCTTAAAGTAGCTACACATTAAATTATTAACACAACCTCTATAATGTCACATTTATGCTTGTACTTTTCTTGTCCTCCCTGAATCCTGGGATTATATGTTTGTACCATCAAATTTGGCTATTTTAAATATATCTTTCTTTCTTTTTTTATTTTTTGGCTGGTCCTAGGGCTTGAACTCTGGGCCTGAGTACTGTCCCTCAGCTCTTCAGCTCAAGGCTAGCACTCTACCACTTGAGCCACAGCACCACTTCTGGCTTTTTCTGCGTATGTGGTGCTGAGGAATCGAACCCAGGGCCTCATGCATGCAAGGCAAGCGCTCTACCACTGAGCCACCTTCCCAGTCCCATATTTTAAATATTTCTATGGTTTTATCCAGAAGGAAAGACTCTATTTGCATTAAATAAATATTTTGTTTATTCTTTTGAGAATTACATTCTTCTAATTGTAAGTAACTTTAAAAATGATCATTTGTTTTCTCTCATGTGAAATATCTTTATCATAATTTTATTTTTGGCTTTTGTTTTTATGGTTCTGAGAATTGAAGCCAAGGCCTTAAGCTTATTACTAATCAAGTGCTTCTACTACTGAGCCACATTCTCAGCCTTTAACATTCTTTTTTTTCTTGTGTTACTCATGTGTTTAAACTCAGTTTCTGGGCACTATTCCTGAGCTTTGCTGAAGGTTAGCTCTCTGCCACTTGAGCCACAGCTCAACTTCTGGCTTTTTGGTGGTTACTAGAGAGGCTGGCTTCAAACCACAATCCTCAGATTTTTTTAGGTTCTTGAATAGGATTATAGGTGTGAAC